GGCTCCCAGGAGCGGGGACGCCTCGGCGTCCTTGGTTCCAGCGGGGAACCCTTAATCAGACCAGTCCTAGGGACGTGGGAGCAAGGCCCTGTGCTGGCCCATCCGCCGAGCAGTTTGTCAGTGAACAAGATAGAGCAGCTTCTCATGGCGGTTCCTGGAAAAAAGAAAAAGTTCACTCGTGAGGTTCACAAGCATCATCTTTTACATGCTGTCTTGTCACGTGTATGTGATGTCAGAAAGTATTTTGCCTGTGGCACAGACATTTCTGTGATGGAGTTACTTGGGGATCTTCTGTGGTAAATAGTTCATTGAAGGGTTTATAAAAAGCCCTGCTTTAAAAAAATCCTAAAACAGATAGCAAATAATTTCGTAATTCTGCCAACACCATTCCAGCTTCTCATTATACCATTTACCTTACACCATCTGACATGTTGCCGTAGCAGTCGAAGTGAGTGTAAATCCATAGGCTTACCTCCTGTTAGACACAGCCAGTAGAGCACGCTGATTTGTGTTCAAGGCTAATTCCATTCAGGCAGTCACTGATCACCAAACAGGTATTATTTCTGAACAAGAAGAAAAAAGCTGGCTACTGCCGCCAGCAGAAGTGGATATAAAATATATGAGTTTTTTGGAAATACTTTTTCAACTTGGTGTTGCTAGTCCTTCGCAATATGTCATGGACCAAACTCAATTACATTTTACCAGCAATGCAGCTGGTCCTGTATCTCTAGACAATTCATAGTAAGAAGGGAGAGGAAACATTTGCACCTCATGTATGACAAGGTCAAGTCTGTAGGCATGCAGAAATTGTAAGTGTACCCAAGCTGGTTTAAAAAGCCTGCAGCGATATTACTTTTATTATAACAAAACCATCCACCGACTTTGGAATGAAACAGTAGACACAAAACAAGGGTATTATCCTTTATTACAGAAGTCACAACATAATAAAACATTTGCAGCATTGCGTTTGAATTTAGTAATAACTTGGTCTTGATCTCAGCCAGTTCCTAAAAGTAAAATACAAGTAGTCTGGAGAAACCTTCACTCAGGTAAATGCTGTTAGCTACTTTATTTCTGATACTAATGTTCTTATATCTTCACATAGTTCTGCGTAAGGCTTTTAAGGAAAAGAAAAGGGCCAAAACAAAGATATGAGTTAATGCTAACTAAAGGAAAACAGAAACAAAAATATAATCAGGAAAGTAATTCCAGGATTAAGGGAAAGCGAAAACATCATCAACCTTCTTTCTAAACTTGTTGCATTAGTGATTTTCCTCAAATACTGTTTTCTTTTTACAAGGTAAATAATGCACCTTTACGAAGCAATAAGACTTTGATATGAGTATCATTCAAATAAAAGTATTGGCGGTGATGGGTGCATCTATAGGCTGAGGCTGAAGGATTGTGGAGTGAATGTTATGTGGGACTTGAAATAGCACAACGTTATGCTGTGAGGCTCACATAGAAACTCAATTGATTTTATTCTGGTAATGTTCTTTCTAACTGGCATTCAAAACTTCGTGTGACCTCTAGCTATAAATAGATGCAGTGATGAATTCACATGTTTTAATGTATACAGTATTACTATTTAATATCTTTTTTAGATGTGAAAAATCTCATAAAGCAAACTTTGCTTTCAGACGTACTGTTTAAAATCAACAGGGCTTTAAAATTTATGTGGCTAAATGGAATTTGACTAGTTTGTGTCTGAGACAAGTCTGCAAGTTGGTTCTACTAAATCCACCAGCTATTTGGGCTCTTGGTTTTGCGTTCTGTCTCTGATATAAGCTACTTCAAAACTGTTCTTTATTTAGAATTTGCTTGTATTTTCATGAACGTTAGCTGTTGTTTTATTTCAGTTCTTTCTGCACCAGCAGTGAAAATGCAGCTCAAGCTGACTTTCCTAATACTATTACGTTACAGACGATAGCTAAGATAAATACTAAAGCCCAGTCGACATTAAGTATCCCTGCAGCTGAAAAGCAAATCAATGATTCCGTAACAGAACCTTTCTTAAAATGTGTAATATAGAGAGAATATTCTAGAGACAGCCTGCTATGGACAGGCGATTCCTGAGAGGAACCACAGCAGATAACGCTGTGATTGAATGGCACTGAGTAATTAAAACAAAAAAAACCCACACACACACAGAGGAGGAAATTCACCTTTCAGTGAGAGTGTCTATTCCTAAAGTAGCCAAATTCCGACCTCAATTATGTCGAGGTAACCTTATCTAGCACCATCTGTTCAAAAATGCAAGCCTAGCAGCTCCTTTTTGCTCTTTCAAATTTTCCATGTGTGTGCTTTGAAGTCTGATTAAGTATGGAAGTTGTATTTGCAATTTGTTTACATTTTTATCCTGATTTTACTTGGAATTTCTGCATACACAAACACAAGAAAACCAAACTTGAGAATGATTTCTTAATAAAAGTAAACAGTTAATTGTTTCATTAGCATTGCTAGGGAAACTTGCATAAGTGTAAATTTTTTATGACACTTAGGGTTTTGAATCCATCTTGCTACTAACTAAAATACATTTTTAAATGACCCTATGTTATTGTGTTCTGTTTTGAGTAGATTTGTGAAAGCACTATCCCCTTAATTTTTTTTCTTACGCTGCCTTTCATACTTTATTCTCATCTTATGTATGTTCTCTCCTTCCCTGAATGATACTAGAAAGGATGAAAAAGTTTATTCACAGTGAAGGTCTCCATCATCTACCTATTAAATCTTCTAAGAAAGACTTTTACGCTCTTTTTCAAGCTTGAGAAGAGCTATCTATAAACATTTTCAAGGCTACCTCATTACCATGCTCTAAATCCTCTTAAAACGCAGCATCAATATGAGGTCTATCAAAGTATCATTGTGTAACACTATCAGCTTCCAAATTGTTTCCATATTTTCATATGATCCCCGACAATCTTTTTCCATATATATGTCTTATCTTTTACTTGCACTGTGAGTTAAGTATGAGTTGTCATTTTATTTTACGTTTGTGCAGCGCATAGCACCACAGTATCCTAGCTCATGATTTGCGCTCTTTGACAAGACGTTCATGAGCATTATTATATTTATAAATAAATCAAATAAGAAAGAGTACGGATGCTAATTATAATAACCAGCTATTAATAATAACTAAATAATTAATAATCATATTTCCATTGTTAAACTTGCTTTTGTTACTTGTATATTTTTTATTAGCTTGCCAGATTGCAGTGGCTTACTTTCTTACTTTGTGACCTCAGAGTAATTATGGTGTCACAGAATAATGTATTCTTACAGTGTTATATTGACCTACTGTGGTGTTTTGTCTCAAAACAAGTTGTGTGTAATGTATTTCGCACTTGTAATCGCTCTACTGGTGAACTTTGGTGATAAAGTTGTCATACGGAACTGCTTTACATTGTTGGAACAGCTTTTTATAGTTACAACTGTTTGTAACTTTATGACTTTTCATAAATTTGATCCATGATAATAACAAAGTTGTCAGACAGCTACAACAAGTTACTCTTTGCTTCCCACAACTCTGGAAGTTATCTTGATGTTGTCAAACGAGCATACATAATATTCTCAGTGTTGAAAGGAAGGTAAACAGAAACTTAGGCTACATGAACAGTATTTTGGAAATATGACTGCTTACTATGTCTACATCCATTTTGTGTGATTTGGCTATATATACCAGGATTTTTAAACAGCATCCTCTTTGAGTTATGATTATCTAATGCTAGACAGCATATCAGTTAATTTGTAATGGGAGTTAGTTTCCAATGTGTAAATCCTGGCTTTGAAAAGGAAATTGTATGGTATCTATGCAGAGTGCTCTGCCCAAGTTAATTTCTCTGTAGTAGCTCTTTGT